CATTGCTTCTTCCTGTAACCCCCCATGATTTTAATAATATCATTCTGCTCAGCAGAGCTCATTAAGCCACCACATGGCACTGGTTTCGCTACTAATACCGCCCGCAGCATTAGTATGGCTTCTGACAGTTCCTTGCCATTTGTTATCCGGACATGATTCGCTATACTCATCCGATATTACAGCACGTCGTTGTTTTGTAGGTAGTGGTTGTTGTTGTTTTTGCTTCCTGATGTTGTTTCGACGTTTCTATTGTGGCATCATTGGACGGTACACGATACAACAGATAAACAGAGATCTTTAGAATTCACCGAGGACGATGATGATGATGGCAATTCTTTTTTGTCGTAATACCATCTGGCATTGCTGTCTGCATCGACCTGACTCTGATGGAGATTTTTTGCCTGATGCTGTTGTTCACGTTCACGTTTTAGCTTCGAAGCATTTCGTACTTTGGCAAAATCTTTAAAAAATATATTTGTTGGTATATGACCAATATATTACTAAAATCATTTTTGTGCAATGTTTCCGCAAACTCTTCTCTGGGACTGGCTTTTTTACCATTGCCACCGCCCATCATAGAGCCTTTAGCATTTTTTGTCATCACCGCTGGTTGGCGTTTTCCATTTTGTTGTGCCGTGGCGAACCATGAAATTGGCAACTTGTTGCCGCCACCAGCAGCAGTTACCGTTTCACTCACAAAGCTGCCACGTTCATGAGCATTCAACAGCGATACGGTTTCAACGTAAAAATCCCCCGTGTAATGAATTGCTGGATTTTGCATTTCCGGTGTGACTGTCTTTTGGCTTCGTTTGCTGGCTGGCCGTTTTAATGTTGCCGATGTGGATGATCTTTTTTGCGGAGTCACCGTCAGATGTACTGTTGGTGTAACAAGTTTACAACGAAAATAGAATGGAAAAATACAGAAATACATAATTTTGAATTAGTTTTAATTAATTTGTAATGAAAACATCAGGGGGATATGTTGAAGTTGGTGTAAGTGAAATAATGGGAAGCAAATTTGTGTTTTTAGAATCCATGGATTGTTATATGGATTAATAAAATTATGTTCATAGAGATACATATATGTGAATAAATGGAAATGTGTATCATAGAGACATATATACGGATACGTTAAGGGTACTCGGCGGAGCAAACTAGGAGAGATTGTCATATTGTCGTTGCACCTGGTCTGAAAAAACACCTGGCAACAAGACCATTTCATTCTGGTTCTGACCACCCCCTCATCATCATCCTCTACCTATTTCATAACCGTTAAACATCGGTCATATTTTCCGCAACCATGTTAAATCTGATTGGCAAGATCACTGCAAATTAAACAATCAATGTTTCAAAGAGCTGGCCTCGGGTAGCTAAGAAACATCCCGGGGGAATTTTCACTGCTGCAGCCGCTCAAGAGTGAAGGAACTTACTGTTAACAGGTAAGTATGCAAGCCTCCTCGCTACCGGAACAAGTAAATGTCCACGTGTAGAACGGCTGTCACATATAAAGATGGTACGGTGATAGATGTGAAGACGTAAAAAAACAGGGCGTGTTACGTTGCATAAGTGCCCTCTGAGCCAAGGAAGCACCACCATAGTTAACGAAGAGATTTTTGCATATTTCATTCGTATTGCTAGTTCGTACTATCTAGCATCTGTCATCTACCCATTGTTAACTACCCACACTGTGCTTGAAGCCTGGAAATTAAGCAGGACGGTCCCGCTACTAAAGTACAAAAAGGGTGCCAGCAGAAGTGAATCGATTTTACTTCTGTCTCCTTTAATAAATACGCTGAAGCAACTATTCCTCCGACACATAAAAACATGTTTCCTGTCGCTCAACATCAATCACAACAGCATTAAAAGCCATACCCACTCACATAAGTCGAAAACTAGAACAGGACCTGCAATAGAACAGGATTTTACTTAAGTGGAATTCAGAAAGGAGGAGAAGTCACAGATCTCTAGATTTTAGCAGGGAGTTATCCAAGGAGTGACTCTGGAACAGTTTAACCTCTACGTTTCTGAACTTCCAAAATAAGTAGGTCTCCAAATCAAAATGCGGATGTCGGATCCCATTATCGATGACATATTTAATACAATTCCTTTATGTGAAGAACATGAAAATATCTAGCGCCAAAACCACAAACTTCACTAAATTCCTCAAGCCACGGCTATTTTTTATAGTAGTAGAAATAGGAACAACGTGGTGAGTTGTGTGACGCCGGTGTAGCGTCACTGGCACAGAATTCAAACCTGACTAAATGCCGCCCTGAGAACCTCATTTTAGGAGAAGACTTTCGGCTTTTTATGAAGAAGAAACCCTACTGTTCTTCTTCTATGAAGAAGAGGACTTCTTTTTCTATGAAGAAGAGGACTTCTTTTTCTATGAAGAAGAGGACCTCCTCTTCTATGAAGAAGAGGACCTCCTCTTCTATGAAGAAGAGGACCTCCTCTTCTATGAAGAAGATGACCTCCAGTTCCTCTATGAAGAAGAAAATCTTCAGCTTTTCTATGAAAAAGAAGACCTTCAGCTCATCTATGAAAAGGAAGACCTTGAGCTCTTTTATGAAAAAGAAGACCTTCACATCTTCTATGAAAAAGAAAACCTTCAGCTCTTCTATAAAAAGAACATCTTCAGCTCACCATGAAGGAGAAGAAGACCTTCAGCTCTTCTCTGAAGGAGAAGACGACCTTCAGCTCTTCTCTGAAGGGGAAGAAAAACTTCAGCTCTTCTATGAAGGAGAAGATGACCTTCAGCTCTTCTCTGAAGGGGAAGAAAAACTTCAGCTCTTCTATGAAGGAGAAGAAGACCTTAAGTTCTTCTATGCAAGAGAAGAAGACCTTAAGCTCTTTTATAAAAAGAAGACCTTCAGCTCTTCTATGAAAGGGAATAAGACCTTCAGATCTTCTATAAAGGAGATGAAAACTATGAAGGAGAAGAAGAGCTTCAGTTCTTTTATGAAGGAGAAGAAGACCTTCAGATCTTCTATAAAGGAAAAGAAGAACTTCAGCTCTTCTATAAAGGAAAAGAAGATCTACAGCTCTTCTATAAAGGAGAAGAAGACCTTCAGCTTTTTTATGAAGGAGAAGAAGACCTTCAGCTCTTCTATGAAGGAGAAGAAGACCTTCAGCTCTTCTATAAAGGAGAAGAAGACCTTCAGCTCTTCTATGAAGGAGAAGAAGACCTTCAGCTCTTCTATGAAGGAGAAGAAGACCTTCAGCTCTTCTATGAAGGAGAAGAAGACCTTCAGCTCTTCTCTGAAGGAGAAGACGACCTTCAGCTCTTCTCTGAAGGGGAAGAAAAACTTCAGCTCTTCTATGAAGGAGAAGAAGACCTTAAGTTCTTCTATGCAAGAGAAGAAGACCTTAAGCTCTTTTATAGAAGACCTTCAGCTCTTCTATGAAAGGAATAAGAAGATCTTCTATAAAGGAGATTAAAACTATGAAGGAGAAAAAGACCTTCAGTTCTTTTATGAAGGAGAAGAAGACCTTCAGCTCTTCTATAAAGGAAAAGAAGAACTTCACCTCTTCTATAAAGGAAAAGAAGAACTTCAGCTCTTCTATAAAGGAAAAGAAGATCTACAGCTCTTCTATAAAGGAGAAGAAGACCTTCAGCTTTTCTATGAAGGAGAAGAAGACCTTCAGCTCTTCTATAAAGGAGAAGAAGACCTTCAGCTCTTCTATAAAGGAGAAGAAGACCTTCAGCTCTTCTATAAAGGAGAAGAAGACCTTCAGCTCTTCTATGAAGGAGAAGAAGACCTTCAGCTCTTCTATGAAGGAGAAGAAGACCTTCAGCTCTTCTATGAAGGAGAAGAAGACCTTCAGCTCTTCTATGAAGGAGAAGAAGACCTTCAGCTCTTCTATGAAGGAGAAGAAGACCTTCAGCTCTTCTATGAAGGAGAAGAAGACCTTCAGCTCTTCTATGAAGGAGAAGAAGATCTTCTATGAAGGAGAAGAAGACCTTCAGCTCTTCTATGAAGGAGAAGAAGACCTTCAGCTCTTCTATGAAGGAGAAGAAGACCTTCAGCTCTTCTATGAAGGAGAAGAAGACCTTCAGCTCTTCTATGAAGGAGAAGAAGATCTTCAGCTCTTCTATGAAGGAGAAGAAGACCTTCAGATCTTCTATGAAGGAGAAGAAGACCATTAGCTCTTGTATGAAGGAGAAAAAGACCTTCAGCTCTTCTATGAAGGAGAAGAAGACCTTCAGCTTCTCTATGAAAAAGAAGACCTTCAGCTCATCTATGAAAAGGAAGACCTTGAGCTCTTTTATGAAAAAGAAGACCTTCAAATCTTCTATGAAAAAGAAAACCTTCAGCTCTTATATAAAAAAAACATCTTCAGCTCACCATGAAGGAGAAGAAGACCTTCAGCTCTTCTCTGAAGGAGAAGACGACCTTCAGCTCTTCTCTGAAGGGGAAGAAAAACTTCAGCTCTTCTATTAAGGAGAAGATGACCTTCAGCTCTTCTCTGAAGGGGAAGAAAAACTTCAGCTCTTCTATGAAGGAGAAGAAGACCTTAAGTTCTTCTATGCAAGAGAAGAAGACCTTAAGCTCTTTTATAAAAAGAAGACCTTCAGCTCTTCTATGAAAGGGAATAAGACCTTCAGATCTTCTATAAAGGAGATGAAAACTATGAAGGAGAAGAAGACCTTCAGTTCTTTTATGAAGGAGAAGAAGACCTTCAGCTCTTCTATAAAGGAAAAGAAGAACTTCAGCTCTTCTATAAAGGAAAAGAAGATCTACAGCTCTTCTATAAAGGAGAAGAAGACCTTCAGCTTTTCTATGAAGGAGAAGAAGACCTTCAGCTCTTCTATAAAGGAGAAGAAGACCTTCAGCTCTTCTATAAAGGAGAAGAAGACCTTCAGCTCTTCTATAAAGGAGAAGAAGACCTTCAGCTCTTCTATAAAGGAGAAGAAGACCTTCAGCTCTTCTATAAAGGAGAAGAAGACCTTCAGCTCTTCTATAAAGGAGAAGAAGACCTTCAGCTCTTCTATAAAGGAGAAGAAGACCTTCAGCTCTTCTATGAAGGAGAAGAAGACCTTCAGCTCTTCTATGAAGGAGAAGAAGACCTTCAGCTCTTCTATGAAGGTGAAGAAGACCTTCAGCTCTTCTATAAAGGAGAAGAAGACCTTCAGCTCTTCTATGAAGGAGAAGAAGACCTTCAGCTTTTCTATGAAGGAGAAGAAGACCTTCAGCTCTTCTATAAAGGAGAAGAAGACCTTCAGCTCTTCTATGAAGGAGAAGATGACCTTCAGCTCTTCTATGAAGGGGAAGAAGATGACCTTCAGCTCTTCTATGAAGGGGAAGAAAAACTTCAGCTCTTCTATGCAAGAGAAGAAGACCTTAAGCTCTTCTATGCAAGAGAAAAAGAAGACCTTCAGCTCTTCTATGAAAGGGAATAAGACCTTCAGATCTTCTATAAAGGAGGTGAAAACTATGAAGGAGAAGAAGACCTTCAGTTCTTTTATGAAGGAGAAGAAGACCTTCACCTTTTCTATGAAGGAGAAGAAGACCTTCAGCTCTTCTATAAAGGAGAAGAAGACCTTCAGCTCTTCTATAAAGGAGAAGAAGACCTTCAGCTCTTCTATGAAGGAGAAGGAGAAGAAGGAGAAGGAGAAGACCTTCAGCTCTTCTAAGCGGCCATAGAAGACCTTCAGCTCTTCTATGAAGGAGAAGAAGACCTTCAGCTCTTCTATGAAGGAGAAGAAGACCTTCAGCTCTTCTATGAAGGAGAAGAAGACCTTCAGCTCTTCTATGAAGGAGAAGAAGACCTTCAGCTCTTCTATGAAGGAGAAGAAGACCTTCAGCTCTTCTATGAAGGAGAAGAAGACCTTCAGCTCTTCTATGAAGGAGAAGAAGACCTTCAGCTCTTCT